ACTTAGTGGTTTTATTCACCATCAATAGTTGATGTTCCTTTTTGATTTCCACCTCCGCTGATTTCAGCATTGAATATACCTCAGGAATGGTCTTTTCCATCCCCTGCATATTGAAGTTCATCACAAAGCTCTTGTAGCTAGGTGGGAGCAGCTGAAAGATTCTGTCAATGACCGCATCATCCGGGAGATTAACTCCCAGCTGAGACAAGCAATTGTGCAACCTAGACATTTTGAGTATGTGCTCCCTAACGGAACTATTCTCCTCCATCTTACAACTATAGAACTTGTCGGAGACTTCATATCTCTCGACCCGGGCATGAGCTTGGAAAACCATTTTCAGCTCTTGGAACATCTCATATGCTCCGTGTTGCTCAAAACGCTTTTGGAGCCCCGGTTCTAAGCTGTAAAGCATGCCGCACTGAACCAGGGAGTAATCATCACTACACGTCTGCCAAGCGTTCATAACGTCTTGTTCTGCTGGGAAATCAGGTGCGTCACCTAGTGGTGCATCAAGGACATACGCTTTCCTGGCAGGTATGAGGATAGTCCACAGGTTATGGACCCAGTCCGTGTAGTTGCTGCCATTGTCTTTCAGCTTGGTTTTCTCTAGGAACGCATTGAAGTTGAGGGCAACATTAGCGTGGGCCATTTGATCTACAAGACATATTGCAAAGAATTTTAGACCATGTTCATGATAATTAAGTTCATCTAATCAAATTATTTAATGAACTCCCACTCAGATAGACATCTCTCTAGTCATCTAAGTGATACATGATCTGATTCAACTAGGCCATGTCCGATCATCACGTGAGACGGACTAGTCATCATCGGTGAACATCTTCATGTTGATCTATCTTCTATATGACTCATGTTCGACCTTTCGGTCTTCCGTGTTCCGAGGCCATGTCTGTACATGCTAGGCTCGTCAAGTCAACCTAAGTGTATTGCGTGTGTAAATCTGGCTTACACCCGTTGTATGCGAACATTAGAACCTATCACACCCGATCATCACGTGGTGCTTCGGAACAACGGACCTAAGCAATGGTGCACAGTTAGGGGTAACACTTTCTTGAAATTATTGCGAGGGATCATCTTATTTATGCTATTGTCGTTCTAAGCAAATAAGATGTAAAACATGATAAACATCACATGCAATCAAATAGTGACATGATATGGCCAATATCATTTTGCTATCTCCATCTTTGGGGCGCCATGATCATCATTGTCACCGACATGACACCATGACCTCCATCATCATGATTTCCATCATTGTGTCTTCATGATGTTGTCTTGCCAACTATTACTTCTACTATTATGGCTAACGGTTAGCAATAAAGTAAAGTAACTACATGACGTTTATGTTGACACGCAGATCATAAATAAATTAAGACAACTCCTATGCACTACTAGGAAAAAGGCTACTAGCAGCGCGGGTAAAATGCTACTAGTAGCGCGGGTACTCGCGCTACTAGTATCGCGCTACAGCTAAAAGTTAGTAGCAGCGCGGGTGCACCCGCGCTACTACTAACCTAACTACTAGTAGCGCTCACTTATATCCCACGCTACTACTAACCTAACTACTAGTAGCGCTCATTTCTTATTTCCCACGCTACTACTAACCTAATTACTAGTAGCGCTCATTTGTTTCCCATGCTACTACTAATAATTTAGGAATTAAAAAAATAAAAGTTAGATGTAGTATTCATGGATGGCAATACGTCCAGTGCAGACCAAACCAACGTCACATAACATTCTCAAGAGTCCATTTAACTTCAGACACACACAATGATCATCGAAAGGTGGGTACCTTCCCTGGTGTTCCATCACCAACCTAAACAGACAACTTCCCTAGATGTATCTACCAAGGCTCGAAGCTTAGACGTCGGTGGACCCGAATCCTTCCTCCCCCGGACGGTGGCATTGAGGTTCACCACCTCGGCGACCTCCGGCGTCGAAATCACCTGGACAATCATCTATGCGACATGGCCACCAGCTTCACGGAGAAGTCCGCCTCTGAGTGGTTGAAGAGCACAGCGCCCACCGGCTGCGCTAGTCAGCGTCGATCACCCCTGCGCCCATGTCGAGAAAGTAAAAACTTGTTAGTACGCAAATTGCATCAGTTCAACTAAATGGTATATTCCAATTCACAAGACCCATTAATTAAGTTAAGATTCTTTCTCATCTAGCAATTTAAAGGGGCTCATGCCAAAAATATATGCTTAATTCCTCATTGGCTATTCAAACTAAATGGTCCAAGAACTTTGGGACAATCAACAACCTTTCCGCTTGATCTCCGGTAGCTACTTTGGATTCAACAAGAAAAGGAACATTCATTTGAACTGAAAAGAACAAGCAGGCAAGCATGCTATCAATCTTCTGGCTAGAATTCACAAAATGCACCTGTCAAGTGTACTCTAACAATCGACGTGTCCCATCTCCTCATGATTAAGGACTCTAGCTGAGCCGACAACATGGAGCAAGATGTAGTCGTTTCTGAGCATGAACCCTTGGCTATCATCAATGAACCTACAACATCCATCATGCCCTTTGTAAAATATGTTAGTTTCAGAACAGCCTCTAAAATTTTCATGTTGTAACTTTATTTTAATACCACCTCTAACAGGGCCTAATCTCCCATATCAAAATATTGTACCCAGGAACATATATTTCGGGACAGGAAACTAAATTGATGCCTGCTCTCAAACCGTACATCCAAACGACACAAATAAATACTCTAAAGAAACCTTGGAACTTTATCTAAAACTTATGTAAAGGGGCCAACTCAAAATTCTAAGCCTAGCTAACTCATTTTTCAGATCTAAGCTTGTTGTCCAAATTGGACAGTGTAATTTTTAACTGAAGCAAGTTCACTTTACAGCCATGATGCAGAACTAGATGCTAAAACTAACACCTTGTAGGGAGAGGCGATGCACCATTTTTACCTCGAATCAAAGGCTTCGCATATGCTCTTTGGCCGAATAAATAGATGATACCTCCCTTAACAGTATCCATGCCATGATGCAGAACTAGTGTTTCCAAATTTCGCCAAATCACCACTCGAGCATTTCTAGAGGAAATTAATTGATTCTCTACATAGCATCTGCCCTACAATAGCTATGAACATGGGTTACTTGCTGTCAAGAGAGACCCGATGGTAGGGTTGCAAAAACAGAGGAGGAGCTACTCTGTTTCGGGAAACAACAATGCCTTTTAGTTTAGCATTTTTCAGGTATGTGACAAGATAAGATAGGTAGTTAGTGGTGAGTGCCACGGTGAAGGGCCATGCAGCACATGACTGAAACTGAGATTGGAATACTATTAGCATTATTTCCTCATGATGATTTAGAACTGAAAATGTGAGCAATTACTGTGCACTCAAAGAAGTTTAGTTTGAGTGGCCACCAGAAATTAGAAATGGTTCCATGAATGCAACAAATGTTAATAACTAGCTATAAGACAAAACATGGCTTGAATTATAATAGACAGACCATATTCAGAATGCACTAGTAATTAACATTAATTCCAGATTCTTAAAGCCTGTGGTTAATCGATACTTCTGTGTGTTGGAGGGACTGTAGTTTAGCAACTTTTTCTCAAGTATGCAATGTTTCCAAGTGGCTAAAAAGCAAAGCAAAAGGCAAAGCCAGCTTTGACTCCAGCAACTATAACAACATTCGATAGCTAGAGTCCAACCAAGGAAGACAAGATCAACTAGCCATAGTCCTGTACCAACCAAATATATATTATTACATCAAGTAGGCACTTAGATGCTCAGCTTTAGATAATGGGATTTCATGACATCATGAAGAAGCACATACCACATACTTAAGAAGGTGCCAATAAAGAATGCACCAATAATTGACACCTCAAATAAAGAATGTGCCAGTAATTAAGATCCAGATCATAAATCCTGGTGAATCGACTTATTTGGGGGATTTAGCAACTTGATACACAAATCTTGGATATAAAATGTCCAGCCCCAAAGTAGCTCCAATTAAAGGAGCTCATTTTGCAGAATATTAGAGATGGCATTTTAAAAACAGTGAAAAACAACAGCATACAAATTTGACTTATATTGTATCCATAAAGAAGGTGTGCTGTAGTACCTACAGTGGGCTCTCCCCAGGATGGATTGGATTCTTAATAGGAACAGTATTAGGAACTAGCTCACAGCTGGGAGATAGAGAGAGATATCGACCTTTTGCAGGGAGTCGTGGTGGTAGGAGTAGCTGACCGAACCGTTGAGGCTGATGTTGATGTCCCCCACGGAGCGCTACTGCTGCATCCAAATCGAACAAAAAAATTATACACTATCGGTGATGATCCAACTTTAGGAAGTAAGGCACATGATACACCTACAGCAGTAAAATTAACCGACTGAATCAAGTCAAGTTGCGTGTGTTGTTTCTACTGTGTCCAACTCCAAATCTACATTAGGAACTGATCAGGATTGGTGATGCTTAGAAATGGATGAATCTGCATGTCTCAGTTTTGGCATGCCAAACAAAGAGTGATGCATATATTCATTTGTCTGAACGTATGAGTGCAAAGTCAAGTCTGCTGCAATTACTAGTGGCTCTCCCTAATCAGAATGGATTGGGTTCCTATGCCTAATCAACTTGGCATTTCCGCAAGTGTCAAATTTTCCTACTGTCTCCAACCACAGGAAAATATCAAACTTTTCTCCTCTCATCTTGTCTCTAAAGAAAGGTTCGGTTTTATTGACTTGTCCTCTCTAATGTTTCTGTAGCAAGCAAATTTGATGACCCATGAGCGAAGCAAAAGGAAGAGGGGAGTGAGTACCTTGGCTCGACGACTGCGCGACGGAGCTGCATCTCCACGGCCTCCGGTGCCGGTGCCGATGCCGTGCTTGTGGGGGTGGATCCAGAGCTCGCTTGCTTGGACAGGGAGCAGAGGAAGGGTGGCGTCTTCCCGAGAGAGAGAGAGCCTGAAGACAACACTAGCTAGTGACAAGCATGTTTTGTCGATTCTGTCGCGCTTCAGTCTCCTCTCATCACAGGGCAACATGAAGCTGACGCAGCAGAAGCAGAAGTAGCAGGTGCAGACAAGAAGTTTGCGAGGAAATTGCCACGCTCGTAGAAGAACTTTGCCTTCTCCACCTTGGTGTCTTCATCGACCTATATATCATCACAGGGTTGCAGGTCACTTATCTTTGAACAAAACCAATAATACACCATTAATTACTATCAAATGAACTTACGTTGAAGACACCCATGGGCGGGGCCCTTGACGCCCTCGCGCGCGAGCTTGGCCTCCTCGGCCAGGTTAACGATGGTGTTGACGGCCGTGTCGCCCTGCTCTTCCCCACCACGTCCTCCGATGCCATCCCCTCGCCCGCGTCCGCCTCCCCTCTTGCCATCCCGGATCGCGCGTGGCGACGACGACGACGGCGGCCTCCCCTCGCCACGCCTCGGAGGAAGATGTAGGGGAGAAGGAGAGGGAGAGGCTAGGGATCACCGGTGGGGAGGTCTCCAGGGTGGTGGGCGGCGGCAGCATAGGATGGGAGGGAGATGAGGGGTGAATCGGGAGAAGAGAGGAGGTGGAAGGGAGGCTGACGGTGGAGGGGATCTGGATCGAGGGTTGGGTGTTTTTTTCTGAGACAAACAGTGGTGGACTGGTGGGTGGAGTGGGACGGTTGGTGGGGTGGATCGGGGGTGGGTGGTGTGGAAATGTACTAGTAGCATGGGCATCTGACCTGCGCTACAGCTATTCACAAAGTAGTAGTGCAGGTTTATAATCCTCGCTACTACTATGGCATGTCCGGGAGGGCACGACAGAGACCACTTAGTAGTAGCGAGGGTTAAAAATACGCGCTACTGCTATCAACTTAGTAGTAGCGAGGGGTAAAAACCCGCGCTACTAGTAAGTAGCAGTAGCGAGGGGTATAAACCCACGCTACTAGTAAGCGTCTGTGTATAAGATTTTCCCTAGTAGTGATGGCTCCTGCCGGTTGTCATACTCATCGACATGCAAGTCGTGATTCCTATTACAAGAACATGATCAATCTCATACATCACATATATCATTCATCACATCCTTTTGGCCATATCACATCACACGACATATGCTGCAAAAACAAGTTAGACGTCCTCTAATCGTTGTTGCAAGTTTTTACGTGGCTGTTATAGGTTTCTAGCAAGAACATTTCTTACCTATGCCAAAACCACAACGTGATATGCCAATTTCTATTTACCCTTCATAAGGACCCTTTTCATCGAATCCGATCCGACTAAAGTGGGAGAGACAGACACCCGCTAGCCACCTTATGCAACTAGTGCATGTCAGTCGGTGGAACCAGTCTCACGTAAGCGTACGTGTAAGGTCGGTCCGGGCTGCTTCATCCCACGATGCCGCCGAATCAAGATAAGACTAGTAACGGCAAGTAAATTGACAAAATCGACGCCCACAACAACTTGTGTTCTACTTGGCATAGAAACTACGCATAGACCTAGCTCATGATGCCACTGTTGGGGATCGTTGCAGAAATTAAAAAAATTCCACGCATCACCAAGATCAATCTATGGAGTAACTAGCAACGAGAGGGGGGTGCATCTTCATACAATTGAAGATCGCGAGTCAGAAGCATTGCAAGAACGCGGTTGGAGGAGTCGTACACGTAGCGATTCAGATTGCGGCCGAATCCGATCTAAGCACCGAACAACGGTGCCTCCGCGTTCAACACACGTGCATCTCGGTGACGTCTCCCGCACCTTGATCCAGCAAGGAGGAGGGAGAGGTTGAGGAAGAAGGCTCCAACAGCAGCACGACGGCATGGTGGTGATGGAGTGGCAGTTCTCCGACAGGGCTTCGCAAAGCTCACGCGGAGGAGGAGAGGTGTTGGGGAGGGGAGGGGCTGCGCCTTGGATGTGGTGCTGCAGCCCTCCCCTCGCCCCTCTATTTATAGGGAGAAGGGGGAAGGGGGTCGGCCCATCTAGATGAGATCTAGAGGGGGGCTGCAGCCAAGGGGGAGGGGCTTGCCCCCCAAGCAAGGGGGGGCCTTTAGGGTTCCCCCCAAACCCTAGGCGCATGGGCCCTAGGGGGAATGGCGCCCAGCCCACTAGGGGCTGGTTCTCTTCCACCTACAGCCCATAAGGCCATCCGGGGCAGGTGGACCCTCCCAGTGGACCCCCGGAACCCCTCCGGTGGTCCCGGTACAATACCGGTATACCCCCGAACATTTCCGGTGACCGTATGATGACTTCCCATATATAAATCTTCACCTCCGGACTATTCCGGAACTCCTCGTGACGTCCGGGATCTCATCTGGGACTCCAAACAACATTCAATAATCACATAGAAATCTTCCTAATAACCCTAGCGTCATCGAACCTTAAGTGTGTAGAGCCTACGGGTTCGGGAACCATGCAGACATGACCGAGACAACTCTCCGGCCAATAACCAATAGCGGGATCTGGATACCCATGTGGGCTCCCACATGTTCCATGATGATCTCATCGGATGAACCACGATGTCGAGGATTCAAGCAATACCGTATACAATTCCCTTTGTCAATCGGTACGTTACTTGCCCGAGATTCGATCATTGGTATCCCAATACCTCGTTCAATCTCGTTACCAGCAAGTCACTTTACTCGTTGCATAACACATCATCCCGTGACCAACCCTTAGTCACATTGAGCTCATTACGATGATGTCTTACCGAGTGGGCCCAGAGATACCTCTCCGTCATACGGAGCGACAAATCCCAGTCTCAATTCGTGCCAACCCAATAGACACTTTCAGAGATACCCGTAGTGCACCTTTATAGTCACCCAGTTACGTTGTGACGTTTGGCACACCCAAAGTATTCCTAAAGTATCTGGGAGTTGCACAATCTCATGGTCTAAGGAAAAGATACTTGACATTAGAAAAGCTTTAGCAGACGAACTACACGATCTTGCGCTATGCTTAGGATTGGGTCGTGTCCATCACATCATTCTCCTAATGATGTGATCCCGTTATCAATGACATCCAGTGTACATGGTCAGGAAACTGTAACCATCTATTGATCAACGAGCTAGTCAACTAGAGGCTCACTAGGGACATGTTGTGGTCTATGTATTCACACATTTATTACGATTTCCGGATAACACAATTATAGCATGAACAATAGACAATTATCCTGAACAAGGAAATATAATAATAACCATTTTATTATTGCCTCTAGGGCATATTTCCAACACCTGAAAAGTCCCCAACTGGTAACATTTGTTTCAAAGAATGATAGGTACCATATAGTGTACGGCATGGTTGTAGATCTAACAATAGATATTGCAGATGACTCTGGAGAGAATCCGGAGGACCAGCATGTCGTACGACAGTTAAAGGCTGGCGAACGCGTGCTGACTAAGGTCATGCGGGAGAAAAGCAATCTCCAAGAAGCGAATACCAAGCTGAGCGTGGAACTGAAAGATGTTCGAGCCCAGCTTGCAGACTCCGTGAAGGAGAATAAGCGGCTTCGACGCGGCATTTTCAGTAAGTGCTTGAACGAACCCTTAAAAGAGTACGGTGGAGAAGCGAGCTAACAGAGTTATGTCTGTAGGTATGCTGACGGGTCGTCCCGCGGAGGAGATGCCCGGGTCTACGGGTGATCTTCTACCCGAGCTCTCACAACTGCACGGACAAGTTCGGCAGGTGATGCAAGGTATTGCCCAAGCCTTGTGGCCATCCGTCTCCCTGCCAGCAGGCATTGGAGAGCTTGCAGAGAAGCTTAAGGGAGCACAGTGGCGCTTCCGATTATGGAAGATATCGACATGCCGTCAAGGTGCCAGAGAAGCCTGGGCCATGGTGAAGACGCGGTATACCAAGGCTGATCCAAAACACATGGCCGAGGTCGGACCTGTGGGGCCCGATGGGAAAGAGATCCCCGTTAGCTTAGTGTATGGGCAAGTAGAATTAGCCACAAAGTATTCCCAACAGGATTGTAGGCTAGACAGCCTGTTGGATGGTATAGAAGAGTAATTTAGTCAGTCTACATGACTATGTAATTAAAGTGACATGTATAATGCCTTCTAGCCGGATTGTAAATCATTTGTCATGGCGGACCTTTTAGCTTCAGCCTTGGGACCCGATAGTCCGGAGTGTATCCGAATACCTGCTCAGTTATATAAGAACCGGGGTATGCATGGAAACCAGGCGTAGGGGTCATTAGTGCTTGAACAGACAAGTACCCACCTAGTTATGTTATATTACATGGGTAGTAAGAAACATCTTCCAGGGAGAATAGTTTCGTTAAGGGTTCCTTTCCCTGGGTACGCATGCCCTAAAGTGCATGTCCGGACTGCAAGAGGAGACGCGGGCAAAAACATCTGGGGGCACATATGGAAAATAAATAAAAATCATCTTTTGTTCACCAACCGAATATTCCCTTAAGAACGCTAGCTTTCGGCTTCACCCAGTCTGAGGTACACATCCGGCTGACCCGGCAGTAACAATCGCAGAGGTGCTCCCCTTATGCCCTAGCCGAATTAACAGGAACGTAGGGCATAAATACAAGAGCCAGGCAACCCAGCTTGGCCAAAACTAAGTCATATCGATGCATATAATGGCCAAGAAAAGGTACATGCGGAAGAATAACACATGTGCGGGGCATGAAGCCCAGATAAATAATTAAGCTTCTATGTAAGAAGCCCCCAGGTATAATGAGCGCGGTTAGCGTGTCAATAGTGTGCAAGCAAGGCACAAGTTGGCCCTTGAAGGACTTGAGAAAGAATAAAAGAAAGAAAGAGAAAAAACAGATAATGTATATGCAAAAAATGGACAAAGGAAGGAGACGAACATAGAGTCCGGCACTAGGCGTAGAATCTTCGGAGCCTGGCTGCATTCCATGGGTTCGGCTCAAGTCGATTATTCGATGCATCCCGCAGACGGTACGCTCCACCGGTTAGAACTTGGTCAATAATGAAGGGACCTTGCCATTTGGGCTCCAGCTTGGTCTATTTCTTCTCCGGTAGGCGTAGAACTAGCTCGCCAATGTTATAAGTTTTGGCCCGTACTTCTATGCTTTGGTATCTGCGAGCCTGTTGCTGATAGAATGCGGAACGGGCTTTTGCCACGTCGTGCTGATCCTCCAGGGTGTCCAGACTATCCTGCCGATCGATCTCGGCTTCTCTTTCTTCATACATGCGCACTCGAGGTGAGTCATGAATTATGTCGTAGGGCAGAACCGCCTTTGCACCGTACACCATAAAGAAGGGTGTGTATCCGGTAGTACGATTTGGCGTGGTCCGCAGCCCCTAGAGTATGGAGTCGAGCTCCTCTACCCAGTGTGTGTTAGACTCCTTTAAGGACCGCACTAATCTTGGTTTGATGCCACTCATAATAAGAC